TCGATTTTATAATTTACATTTTTTACTTTAAAGTGCTATAACTTTTTAAAAAATGTATGGATCAATACAATTTTTTCATGAGAAGTAGTATTTATATACATCTTTCATTGGATATACTTTTTTTTTAAATCAGACTATTTTCCTATATATGGGGGGGCTTCAAATATAAAAAATGCATATAGAAAGTAGAACTTTTTCAACTTAACTTTTGTAAGTGTTCCGGAAGGTCGGACACTTTTATATATATCTTAAATTAAAGCTAATGTAATATACTTTAATTTGAAAAAAAAAAATTTGACCTCTGGACTTGTCTTCACGGCGAAAATGGCTACCGAATGCTATTTTCGTGTGAAAATTCTCGATTTTATTATTTATATTATATTTAACTTTATAATGCTATAACTTATTGAAAAGTTTATGGATCCACACAATTTTTTTATGAGAAATAATATTTTTTAATAAACCCTTTTTCATTCGACATACTTTATCTTTATCGAGATATTAATAAGGAACCAGCAGATCAAGTAGCTTTTGGAATAAAACACCAATTTTTTTAAAATTAAACACTATCTAAAGATTTGCATCGAAGCGTTTATTTTTGATAGTGATTTTAATCACTGTCAGATATCATTTACTTGATCCAACTATGCCGCGACCCCCCTGTGCTGGGTTTTTTTAACTTTATATTACTATAACTTTTTGAAAAATGTTTGGATTAATACACAAATCTTTGTTACTAAATACATAATATATATACCTTTCATCCGACATACTTTTTTTGTAAATCTTGATAAATTGACTTAAAAGAGGTAGTTTAAATTTTTAAAAATACGAGTAAAAAGTAGAACTTTTTTCACATAACTTTTGAAAATATTCCGGAAATAGTCTGAGCTTTAAATATATGTCAAATTACTGCTTATTATAATAATTTAAAAGAATAAATTTGTCCCGAAACCTTATCTTCTATGAGAAAATGGCCATCCGAATTTAACTAAAAATGTAGTTTTTATGTAAAAATCACTGTTTATCATGAAAATTTTCAAACTTCCTACAGGAAGCATTCAAAATAACAATTTTTCACACAAGTTAAACTTTTTCAACTCAATTTTTGAAAATTTTCGGGAAATATTGACATTTCAATTTTAATTTCATTTTAAGTTGAATGTTAATTTATTAGATTACTTAAGTTATTTTAATTAATGCAAATTTAATTGCTCTTTTTCATATAATTACACAGTAATAAACACATCATTATTTACTAAGTTCTATTTTAAGTAATGCATTTTAAAATATACGTAAATAAATTGAAAGATAAATAAAAAAAATGTACAATTGGCATAACAGTATCTTCATAAATCATTTATATTCCTACTTAAAATAAATAACCAAAAAACAATTACATAATGACATTGAACTATACGTGGATCTCAGTACAAAATTTTGTGTTAGTGTCCATTGGTTTTAAAATTATCAAAATATTATATTATTTATTTATGATTTTTTTTGTGCAAAATATGAATTTATTAAATTGTTATTTTGCATTAATCGTTATTTCAATTCAGTCACTATCATCAAATTTTGTGGTATCCAAATTAATCTCATATGAAAAAATTGAAACTCTTAAAAAAGTACTTGTGAATGTGGATTTATGGAAGCAATTCAAGAACGTAGCTGTTAAAGATAAAAAATGCTATAACAAGAAAAAGTTCAAAGTTAATAACATCTTTGATGATATAGACAACGGAAATATTACTGATCAGAATAATATAAAAAAGCCTGGTGAAGTAAGTTCGTTAAAATCTTTGCATGTTAATTCAAGCAATTATGAAGAAAAGGTAAACTTAATTTTTAAATTCGTAAGGTGTAAGTGTTGGGGACATATTAAGTCGTTTAATCGACTTTTGTCATACATGACTAGTGGTTATGATATGATCTGCAATGAAGAAATAAATACACAAGAAAAAACAATGACCTTAAAAATAAAGAGTTTGCTTCTTACAAGAATTCAGGAATATAAAGAATTAGTACGTGTACTTTATGATTATGCATGTTTTTTTAAAAGTTTACTTCCTGAAGGTAAAGATAAAGTAAGTGATACTGACCCATTTTTTTCGAAACTATTGTCCATAATGAATATGTCATTACCTGAAGGTGATTATTTTGCAAATGATTTTAATGAAATATTAAAAAAATCATGTACAGATATTAAAAGTTATTCAGGGTATTTGTGTGCTTATTCAAAAAATATTCCTCACAAGGATTCATATATAAAAAAATTCAAACAAAAGTTGGCTAATGTAAAATATAAGGAAAGCTTTGCAGAATATATGAGTAGTCAATTACATTTAGTTGCAAAAGAAATTTATGATTCGTTTTCACAGTTGCCATTAATTGAAAAATTAGAATAATACATAAAATTGAATTATCAATTATTAATATTTATTAAACATATATAAAAATAAAATATTCCAAATAAAGTTTTTATAATAGTAGTTATTTTAAGTGTAATCGAGTGACTTATATTAATAAATTACCCTGTAAATTCAACACTTAAATTTTTTAAATTATATTATATTTTAATATTTAAAAAAAATATAATTATTTCATTATTATTAGTTATATAATAAAATTTTTGGAAATCTTTTTATTTATGTATATTAACCAAAAACTGACAGATTTCTTGAAAGTATAAATTTTATTAATCACAATAGATAAAGACTTATATAATAAAAATTATAAATTATTTGTGCTTATCGCTATATTGTCATTTCAAAAGATATATTAATATATATAATCTAGTTATAATATTAAAGTATTAAAATTGTTAGCTCATTTGTACATTTTTAAGTATTAAACTAAATATATTATTTAATAAATATTTGTTCTCTAGTTATTATAGTAGTTATTCTTACATTGATTTTGTTTTTCAGATATAATTTCTTATACTGTATGTTATTTGACTTACAAATATGGTTAAAAAAATTAAGGTGCAAAATTATAGCATTTTTGTATGTAAAAAAGATTTATATCAATATGACCGACATTTTGCATTGATGATAAAAGTATAACTATTTTAGTAGGTTTTGGTTTATAAGAAATTATGGTAAATGTTTTTGAAATCCAAATATGGTATTATTCGTCTCACGGTATTTTGAACACTGCGAAAGAAAACTTTCTGTAATTTTTTTTAATTTTTCTGAACCAACCAATTTAATATTGTTTTTCAATTGCCAATAGAATACTAAAAAAAAGATATTCTTAGTTAAATTTTCTAAATTCTAATTCATTAGTGCCGTAACTACGTCATTTGGAGAGTTAAAAAAATTATAATTGCCACTTAGTTTTTTGCACAATTTACTTTTAGGTGCACTTATATATCAATTTCTCATCAACCAGTACAAATATTTTTACATTGTATACTACAGATTTATTTGGTAAATATACTCTTAATGAGTATCAACCTCTGAAATTGAATAATTACTCGTCAATCATCATGTATTCTGAAGACAAGAAAAATTTTTAATGATTTTCAACAAATAACTCAAAAAGTTCTCTTATGGAAGCTGATTTATCAAGTTTAAGTCAATTAATAAGATCATCCATACTATGCAACATATTGCAGTAGAAATCAAAAAATGTTTTCATTCATATTAATATGAACATTTTTATTACAAAACCATCCTGATCCCAATGATCTTCGAGATTTTGTCGTACTAATTGGCTGACACCTGCTAACATCAATGGACCACTTTAGCGCACAATTTTACTTTATGTCGTTTAATTGACATCTCTTCCTTTCAATACTCCCAGTAATAGTTAGTAAATATATATTTTAGTACAACGAGTAAATATACGGGTAATCACAAAATAATCCATAGTATCTGATTTATTTTTAGCCATTGATTTGCATCCGGGTAAATGTAATATAATTTGATAACGCGTACGCTCGGTACTAGGAAGCTTATTTTTAGCCATTTAGTTTTCTTATCTTTTTTAAAATAAAATTTGGTTCTTGATAAATCACTATCAATATCGGGAACGTCTTCAGTTTCTGAAATGCGTTGTCAACTACACCCAAAGAAAAACCTCAATCAAAATTGAAAGAGAAATTTTATCAAGGGTTTATGATAATGTTTTATTAATACGAACAAAATAACTATTCTTATAAATAATTATTGTTCAAGACAAGAAAAAAAAATATCATATTGATAAATATATCATTGATTCAATAGTAATGATATATTTATCAAATTGAACAATGAATTTATTATATAGATCGAGGTTTTTCTCTGGGTGTATCATTTATAGTATTTTCAATGTAATCGTATATTTCACTAAAGTTATTTTAAACTAGGCTAATCATAAATAAATAAATAACATTTAAGTTATGACATAGATAAAAACAATGAGGTACAATAGTCACCACCAGACTAATGAACGATGTTACACATTAATCTTATAAACATTGCTTATAAAATCTATGGTTAACCAGAAGTATACCTTAGGTGGTCATAAGATCAATTTTCGATATTTAAATAATTAAATATCCGAACTTATTATTTTTAAATATTTGGTTCACTGATTAAAAGATAATAAGAAATAAGTTTTTATAGTAGTTTAAAAATGTAACAGTTATTTAAAAATTAAATTACAGAAAATATTCCCTATATAAAAAGTTGTTAAAGATATCAGAATATGTTGTATCATTGTAAAGTATTAAAAACGTCAAGGATACCGGTCCTAAAGTTATTATTGGCCAGTTATCTTTTCAATTAGATCAGTTAACTATTTACTAAGCTATTTAAGTTTGTATGTTGCCAATCGGAAAAATAAAGATGACCGCTATATATTGCAAAGCATTATTCTAAAAAGTAATTAATAGTTGATAAATCAAAACATAATAAATTTTAAAAAAATTGATTTTTTTCAATATTTTATTTACTTTGTGAGTAATTGAGTTGTTTACGATAAATCGACCACCTGTATATTATTCAAATCAAATACTTGTCGAAATTTTTATTGTTACAATAGTTGAAAAATTACTTATTTTTAATTATCTTATATTTACTTTATTACGGTACTAAATATGTTTAAAACTCAAATTATGCAAATTCACAATAAACTTTAAAAATATCCTAAAAAATGCTACGTAAGAGTTTGTATTTAGCCTATTTATTTCCAGAAACAAATATATAGCTTAAGATAACCTTGAAAATGAACAATTAGTCCCGTCACTTAGACTTTTAAGTGCAAATATCAACCACAATTAAAATATAAGTCATTTTTATTTTAATATTCTCAATTTTATATTTTTAATGATTAAACTTTTATAAATGATCAATAATATTTTTTTTATAAATATATCATACATGTCCCTTTTATACGCAATATTTTTTTTTTATCTGGCCATATTCTTTTGTATAGGGGTTTTAAATTGAATTATACATATAAAAAGTAGAAAATTATCAACTTAACTGTTAAATTTACTCCAACAATATTGTATTCTATAAACATACAGGTTATNATCTATACTGGACCCAACTATGCAACATCCCCACTATGCCGCGACCCCACTGTGCTGGGTTTTTTTTATATATCATCTGCCTTTTTTTCGTTAACTTTTTTTTTCATAAAAATATACATGTTGACATTTAATTTATTTTTATAAAATAATGAATGTCTAATTAATTTTATTTGTTAATTTATCCATAATTTATCCACACTTGTTATACAATAAACTAAAAAAATTTATTTTAGAACATAAAAACCACCTGAGAACATAATCCATCATAATATAATAGTAAATATTATTTACTATTTGTGATGGTGTCACGTTTTCATAATCGTGAGAATTATTTTAATAAAATACAGACAGCACATCCGCTGCCTGAGACTGATGAATTAACAAATAATATTTATTGCCAAATCGGCAATAAGTGTAATTATTATAAAAACCCAATAGACCTGACCATCGTGGTCAGTCGACTCCAGTGCCTTGTGTCATTCATCAGTCTCAGTACTCGGTTGTCGCTGTCCGGCTTACTGTTTAAAGTAAAGTCTTTGTTTATTCCTTTTCTAACCTATATACTCTTTTCCTCGACATTTCAGAGTATTTGTGTCTTGCACTTCGTCTGCACCTCATACCTAGGTGTTACTCTTATTCTCCCTTCCTATAACAACAGCCTTTCGACACCCACAGCTAACCCGGAGTGTCAGCCGAGCACGGTGACTGCTGTACGACAACACGCACGTGAATACCTAGACAGCAGGCACCACCTCCTCATATTCATCTTCGTACACACAGTTACACTTTCATTTACTTTTTACTGTGTTACGACATATTGAAATGACTTATTTAAATATAGTTATTCAAAAAATTTTTATCCTGAAATAAGAAACCTACACAAAAGAAATATGTTGATTAATTTTTGCGATATTTTAACTTTATTACATAAATAAAGTTTAAAAACATAAGTTAAATAAATAAATAAATAAATAAAATAAGTTTAAATAAAATTTAAATAATATTTAAATTTGATTATAAAAAAATTTAATTCAATTTATTTTCTATCATATTGTAAAATTAAAAATAGGGGTTTCCATTTAAGAAAATTATAAATAAGATTTTTTTGTTTGGATGGACAAAAAAAATATTTAACTATATATTTTGTAAAATTGTTTGAACCTGATACTTTTTTAGCTTAGATGCAAAGCTGAGAAGGTATTATCAGTTAATCAGTACTAGCGTACTATTAGCGTTTATCAGTACTAGTAGTATATAATACATAAATATACACATATACTACACAATTTTTTATACTTAAGTTTAAATTTTACTATTGTTAAACTAAACATAAATAAAAATATTACTAATTAATAAATTTAAATTATTGTTTAATTAATCTATAACATGTATTTTAGTATTATTTATTGTCATCAGGCGCGTAAATATGGTAGTGGGTAAAGGTGGTAATTACCCCCCGCCAGAAATGATCATTACGTTTAAAAAAATAGTGTTTGAGTTTATTATCTTAATTTTAATCACGTGCTTATACTTTTTCTCAGTGAAAGCTCTATATTTGCGGTCAAAAAATGCGACTTGATTCCTATATTTGCGGCAAAATCTTTCATCGACAAATCCCATCGGTACATTGGTGAAAAATAAACGTTAAATATTGCAATTATGTAAGAGTTATAAAATGATAACACCGACAGAAGCTGCCATCATCCTGTTTGATAATGCCGATCGCAAAAAAGAAACAGAATGAAAGCAACCTTATTACTGAACGCATAAAGTTTATTTTCGAATTCTGATATTAGACGACTGAACTAGTTGCTCTACGCCGCGCCGTTCTATATTCTTTTATTATTTCGTGTAAAACTAGTAGTATTTCAGTTATAAAATAAATATAAAGTATAAAAATTATTCAGTTCGAGTATTTTGCTATATATTTTTCTGTGGTTTTTAAAGAGACAAATTCTAATTATATGTATACAAAATGAGTAAGCGACCGGGACAAAAAACTCTCGACTCGTTTTTCACAAAAAAGCCGAGAACAGATTTGCCTGTGATGAAGAAACTTTAGAAGTTTTAAATGAACCAACAACATCGTCAACATCTACTCTTCCGGTTCCGAGAAATAAACAGCTACCAGACGACTCTTCTGAAATTGAAAATTCTTCCGAAATTTTGAACAGACTATCGACCGATGATAATGTCGGTCATTATTTGAGTAAAAAATTGAGTGACTTAAAGAAATACAATATTTTAAAAAGTGCTTTTGTCCCCAACAAACAATTTTCGTACCCGTACTCCATTCACGTTAAAAATCAAAAAGAAGTAAAGTGATTTTTATCATCAAAACATTACAACAGCTTTGAATAGCTCACTTATTCAAAAGCTCTGAACGGTTTATTTTGTAAATATTGTGTATTTTTTGCTCGAAAAGGTGGAGTGAATAAATCTTCCACATTGAACAAATTAGTGAGTGCACTACTAAATAAATACTCCAAATTGCTTGGTAAAGACGGTGACTTAATTAACATGACAGTGAGACTTACCATAAGGATGCGTTGTTTTTGGCAAAATCTATCATGAGCAATTTGGAGCAACCTGAGGATCAAATTGTGAACATTTAAGATGCGCAGATTTCAATAACGATAGCGAAAAATAGACTTAAGATTAAAGCTATTGTATCAAGTATATTTTTTTTATCTCGACAAAATATAGCTCTTCGTGGCCATAGAGTTACCTCAGAGATCACAGAAATGTCGACCTCCATTAAGTCCATAGTAACTTTAGCTTCCAAGAAATTTTCAAAGAAGTGGAAGATATTTATAGATACTTCAACATTGACATTCGGAAACCGAGAAAAATTAGTACATTGTCCAAACATGGATGCGAAGAATACTGAGTACTATTTTAAGAAAAGTATTTTTATTTCTCTTTTGGACAATGTGATTTAGGACATGCGATTTAGGTTTACAGTTGAACTATTTTCTATATTGAACGTTAGCTATTTTTTACCCGTTATATTTTTGAAAAATGATAATTTGAAAACTGGATTTGAAAATTTGATGGATTTGTTTAGCAAATTTTCACATGAAAGTTCTAGTGTTATGCATGATAGGTTATCGGCCGAACTTAATATGTGTCAAAATGATTGGCAGCAATCTAACATGATTGAAATTCCCGAAACAGCACTGGAAACACTTAGAATGTGCGACAAAGACATGTTCCCCTATATTCATATGAGGCTACAAATAGTGAGCACAATTCCAATTAGTGTGACAAGCTCAGAAAGGAGCTTTTCGGCTCTTCATAGACTGAAGACTTGGCTACTATCTACCATGAGCTAGGATCGTTTGATGGGTCTTGCGTTGATGCATGTGCACAGGACACATAAAATCAGTAGTTAGTAGATTTTCTGCAACAAAAAATAGAAGACTTTTACTGCAATAAGTGCAATAATATTATAATTCATTTTTATCTTAAAAAATGCGTTTGGTTTTTTGTTTTTCATTCATTTTTATAGTTTATACTATATTTATTCTTTGTTTAGTTTTTGATATTATTTCATATTTTCATCTTCTTTAGAAGTCATAAATAAATAGAAGTCATTAATAAGTATATAAATATACTTAATAAAGGTACCATAATATTTATAAAAATATATTCCTTATTTTTACCTTTGAAATAAACTTCGTACTGAAAATCATTCGTTTTTATATTCATAAACCCCTCGCATGTATAAAAATAACAACTTTTAATATGAATATTTTTCTAACAATGAACTGTACCCCTCCCAGACAAAAAACCTATATTAGCGCCTGATTGTCATAAGTAAACATAATTATTCATAATGGTTACTGACTAGTTTTTATTATGAGTAATGAAACAAACCAGAGTTATAATTACAAATAAAACAAATACAAATTATGTATGATAAAATTATTTGTAATTATTAACCGTTTTTTTTTAAATAAAATAGTGTTGGGAATTTTCGTTTTTTCCGACTTTACTTGTAAATAAAAATTTCTTACACTAACCTTTTTATAATTAAGTATCTTTTCGCAATTTGTCTTTTAGCGGGACTTCTGTATTATTCTTTTTTAAAGCTGCTCTAAATTTCTAGCCACCTTAGTTTTTTTGCACATTTTGCACATTTGGTTAGCGCAGCATTGTATATATATAAGGTTTTGACAGAAAGCATAAAGTACTTGTATAATATTACACTTAATTTATGCAGTGTGTAGGTAGATAAGTACTAAGTTCCCGACCGTCCAGTTATTGATAAGGAACCTGACTTTCCGAGTATTGACGACTTATCTTCTATATGAAAATGGTTGCCGTAGATAAAAAACAAGCAATTTGATGTTAAAATTTACGATTTCAAATTTTATTTTTTTAACTTTAAATTACTATAACTTTTTGAAAAATTAATGGATTAATACACAAATCTTTGTTACTAAATACATAATATATATACCTTTCATCCGACAATTTTTTTTTCACGTAACTTTTGAAAATGTTCCAGAAATAGTCTGAGCTTTAAATATATGTCAAATTAATGCTTATTACAATAATAATTTAAAAAAAAAAATTTTTCCAGATCTTCTATGAGAATTTAACGAAAAATGTAGTTTTTTTGTAAAAATCACTATTTAACATGAAAATTTCATGTTTAATAATAAATATTTACAAAATATGTAATATTTATAACTTAAAACTGCAATAATTTTTTGAAAAATAACCAAATTAAAAAATTTTTTTTTATTGAAACTTTCGATATTTTTCTTTTATTTGATATAAATTTTTTAAAAATCTAGTGCTTGACCTTCCCACAGGGGGCATTCAAAATAACAATTTTTTCACACAAGTTAAACTTTTTAAACTCAATTTTTGAAAATTTTCCGGAAATATTGACACTTCAATTTTACTTTTATTTTAAGTTGAATGTTAATTTATTACATTACTTAAGTTATTTTAGTTAATGAAAATTCCTAATTAATTGCATTTTTACATATAATTACACAATAATAAACACATCATTATTTACTAAGTTCTATTTTAAGTAACGTATTTTAAAATATAAGTAAATAAATTGAAATATAAATGAAAATAAATGTACAATTGGCATAACAGTATCTTCATAAATTATTTATATTCCTACTTAAAATAAATAACAAAAAAACAATTAAATAATGACATTGAACTATACGTGGATCTCAGTACAAAATTTTTGTGTTAGTGTCCCTTGATTTTAAAATTATCAAAATTTTATATTATTTATTTATAATTTTTTTGTGCAAATTATGAATTTATTAAATTGTTATTTTGCATTAATCGTTATTTTAATTCAATCACTATCATCAAATTTTGTGGTATCCAAATTAATCTCATATGAAAAAATTGAAACTCTTAAAAAAGTACTTGTGAATGTGGATATATGGAATCAATTCAAGAACATAGCTGTTAGAGATAAAAAATGCGAAAACAAGAAAAAATACAAATTTAATAACATCTTTGATGATATAGACAACGGAAATATTACAGATCAGAATAATGTAAAAAAGCCTGGTGAAGTACGATCGTCAAAATCTTTGCTTGTTAATTCAAGCAATTATGAAGAAAAGGTAAAAGTAATTTTTAAATTCGTAAGATGTAAGTGTTGTGGACATATTAAGTGGTTTAATCGACTTTTGCTATACATGACAAGTGAATATGATAGGATCTGCAATGAAGAAATAAATACACAAGAAAAAACAATGACCTTAAAAATAAAGAGTTTGCTTCTTACAAGAATCCAGGAATATAAAGAATTAGTACAAGTACTTTATGATTATGCATGTTTTTTTAAAAGTTTATTTCTTGAAGGTAAAGATAAAGTAAGTGATACTGACTCTTTTTTTTCGAAACTATTGCCCATAATGAATATGCCATTACCTGAAGGTGATTATTTTGCAAATGATTTTAATGAAATATTAAAAAAATCATTTACAGCTATTGTTAATCATTCAAGGAATTTGTGTGCTTATTCAAACGAAATTCCTCACAAGAATTCATATAACAAAAATTACAATCGAAAGTTGGCTAATAAAAAATATAAGGAAAGCTTTGCAGAATATATGAGTTGTCAATTACATTTAGTTGCAATAGAAATTTATGATTCGATTTCACAGTTGCCATTAAATGAAAAATTAGAATAATACATAAGATTGAATTATCAATTATTAATATTTATAAAACATGTATAAAAATTAAAAATGCCAAATTAATCTTTTATAATAGTAGTTATTTTAAGAGTAATCGAGAGATCTATATTAATAAATTACCCCGTAAATACAACACTTAAATTTTTTAAATTTTATTATATTCTAATATTTAAAAAATATATAATTATTTTATTATTATTAGTTATATAAAAATTTTTTTGGAAATATTTTTATTTATGTATTTTAACCAAAAACTGACAGGTATTTTTTAAAAATACAAATTTTATTAGTCATACTAGATATAGACTGATTTAATAAAAATTATAAATTATTTATGCTTAAATATGGCTATATTGTTATTTCAATAGCTATATAAATACATATATGAGAAACATCAGTCATTGATTCAAACTATAATAGATTTTCCACCAGTTATTGATATTCCACTCGAAACAAAGTTTGAGATAGCACGTGAATCTCAAAAGAGCAACGTCATGACCGCATAGGTCCACACACTACTTTTAATATCGGAGATACTGTGTTGGTGCGATCACACAAATTAAGTTCAGGTGCTGACAAAATAATCATTAAATTTTTTATGTTATATTATGGTCCATATATTATTGTACACGTCAAAAATACTAATTCATATGTCCTTCAAGATCCTGATAATGGGAAGATTAAGGGAACATAAAATATTTTTGCGGAAGTACAGAGATCCTATGCAATAAGTCTGCACTAATCTTATATTTTTTTTTTTGTCTTTTCTTTTGAATTTCATTTTTGTCAGTTCAATCTCTTGAGAAGTTTTGTCGTTTTACGTCAAATCTTCTCAGGGGGTATCTGTAACGTGACAAAATTTGAATTTTTATGGTATAGATAGATTTACTGTTTTGCTTTGCTAATGGGCGCGCGTACGATATATCCGGCCGTGTAATCAGAAAACTGTATTGTTGCTGTCAAGGTGAACGCTCTACACACAATATTCTTTATCAGTTTAATAATCGTTCCCTATATGACACATACACTGGCCACCACTTTCAATACCTGTATAATTTTAATATTGTTAATATACTTATCTTTTTTATATTTTGTAAATTGTTAAGCCGTTACACTCTCCCAAAGGTAATCGTCGTCGTCGTTGTGTCTCGCCCGTTGTGTCTCGCCCGTTGTGTAACAAAAATTGTTTTTCTCTTCCCTTTGAACCGCCGTTGTGGTATTTTGTTGCTGTGTGCGTACAGCTAATATTAATTTTTTTTTTCGTGTGTCGTTGTGAAAAATCATATACTAATTTTTGTAAGGCGTCGGCCATTTTCTGGGGCCGAGATCCCCATCTTCGGATGAGTCCCATCCGGGACTGGGTATCGTATTGTTTTTATGTAATGTAATGTTATGTGTTGAGCCTTTTCTGTTTTAAATTTATTTTTTTTATGAAATGTATATAAACTTTATCTAGTATTGATATTTAAAGGTTATTGGTCAGTGGTGAGTCATGTATATTTAATACATATAAATATATATATATTATTCCCGCAGTGCCCAAGTACGGTCCGGCCGGCCAGATTACAAAAATTATCCGCCGCGTTTGGAGTACACGGACTTGTTCCGATGCGGAAGACACTTCACGTGTAATGTTTAAAAGTTGTAGGTTAAATTTTTTTTTTTCTCTTAATAATTTTTTTTTCTCTTAATAATTTTTTTTTCTCTCTCTTTTCCATTCATTTTTAGAGTGGATTTTGCCTTCGGGTATTATCCACTATTAACTTAACTGTAATAATTTAATAAATTCCCCTTAATTTTCTTAATCAACAAAAATCTTTTTATTCCGTGAATATCTTCAATATTCACGTGTATCTTATTTTTTTTCTTTTAAATAATTCTCTCTAGTTTTAAGGTAACTGTCTTCGACATACTAAAGTATGTCCACCACTGGTGACATCAAACAAACATATCTTGTTATATTTACAAGGTACGGCGTATTATAGTATACGACAACACTTTATATCTTAGTATATATATATATATATATATATATACATATAATTTTTTATATATTATTACAATATGTAAATATTATTATTATAATAATACTCAATAGACTCAATAATATTACTCAATAGACCAATTAAAAAAATGTGTAATATATTTTAATTTTTATAAGTGGTACTTCCTCTTAATTGGAACTCGTTTAACACATAGGGTAGGCTGGATAGGGTTTGAATATAGATTTGACTCCTTTAGTGCTATTGTTAAATATGATTATTTTAAATTTTCTAGGAATTGTTGACTCATCAATAAGAGCGAAATTGTGCAATGATGTTAAAAGTATAACTATTTTAGTAGGTTTTGGTTTAGAAGAAATAAGGGTAAATGTTTTTGAAATCCAAATATGGTATTATTCAGCTCACCGTTTTTTGAACACTGTGAAAGAAAAGTCGCTGTAATATTTTTTTTTAATTTTTCCGAACCAATTGTTTGACATCTGCTAACATCAATTGACCACTTAAGCACACAATTTTACTTTATGTCGTTTAATTGACATATCTTTCTATCAAAAGTCCCCGTAAAAGTTACTAAATATATTTCTTAGTACAACGTGTAATTATACGGGTAATCACAATATAATAAATCAAAATAATCCATAGTATCTGATTTATTTTTAGCTATTGATTTGCATCCGAGTAAATGTATTATAATATGAAAACGCGTACTATCGGTACTAGGAAGCTTATTTTTAGCCATTTAGATTTCTTATCTTTTTTTAAATAAACATGGTTCTTGATAAATCACTATCAATATCGGGAACGTCTTCAGTTTCTGAAACGCGTTGTTAATTATCATTTATAGTATTTTCAATGTAATCGTATATTTCACTATTATCACCAACTTCATCTATGTGAGAATCAAAATCATGTACAGTATCTAGTAAGTTTAAAGTATGGTTTTGTTCACAGTACTCTATACTTAATTAAAAAAAACAATGTTACAAATGCTGTAATTAATTAAAGATAAACCTCGCGAGTCACGTGTTAACTAGTTAGATCTTTTACGATTGTGTCTGAAAGATAACTAAATCGACAATAGTGATAATAAATGTCAAGTATTATTGAAAAGTATCTAAAACTAGGCTTATCATAAAAAAATAAATAACAATTAAGTTATGACATAGATAAAAACAATGAGGTATAATCAATACATTAATCTTATAAACATTGCTTATAAAATCTATGGTTCACCAGAAGTATACCTTAAGTGGTTATAAGATCGATTTTCGATATTTAAATATTTTTACTATCTGAACTTATTATTTTTAAATATTTGGTTCACTGATTAAAAGATAATAAGAAATAAGTTTTTATAGTAGTTTAAAAATGTAACAGTTATTTAAAAATGAATTTATAGAAAATATTCCCTTTATAAAAAGTTGTTAAAGATATCAGAATATGTTAAATCCTATAAAGTGTTCAAAACGTCAATGATACCGGTCCAAAAGTTATTATTGGCCAGTAATTTTTTCAATTAGAGACTTGTTAACTATTTATTAAGCTATTTAAGTTTGTATGTTGCCAATTGGAAAAATAAAGATGACCCCTATAAATTGTAGGGCATTATTCTAAAAAGTAATTAGAGTTGATAAATCAAAACATGTTTAATATTAAAAAAATTGATTTTTTTTCAATATTTTATTTACTTTGTGAGTAATTGAGTTGTTTACGATAAATCGACCACCTGTATATTATTCAAATCAAATACTTGTCGAAATTTTTATTGTTACAATAGTTGAAAAATTACTTATTTTTAATTATCTTATATTTACTTTATTACGGTACTAAATATGTTTAAAACTCAAATTATGCAAAATCACGATAAAATTTAAAAATATCCTAAGAATTGCTACGTAAGAGTTCGTATTTAGCCTATTTATTTCCAGAAACAAATAATAACTTAAGATAACCTTGAAGTTGAACAATTAGTCCCGTCACCTAGTCTTGTATGTGCAAATATCAACCACAATTAAAATATAAGTCATTTTTATTTTAAAAATTCTGGATTTTATATTTTTAAAGATTAAACTTTTATAAATGATCAATAATATTTTTTTATAAATATATCATACATGTCCCTTCTATATGACATACTTTTTTTAATCTGGCCATATTCTTTTATATAGGGATTTTAAATTGAATTATACATATAAAAAGTAGAAAATTATCAACTTAACTGTTAAATTTACTCCCACAATATTGTGTTCTATAAACATACAGGTGATTTTTTTTTATATATCATCTGCCTTTTTTTCGGTTATTAATTTTTTCCATAAAAATATTCATGTTGAAATTTAATTTATTTTTATAAAATAATGAATGTCTAATTAATTTTATTTGTTAATTTATCCACACTTGTTATACAATAAACTAAAAAAATTTATTTTAGAACATAAAAACCACCTGAGAACATAATCCATCGGAATATAATAGAAAATATTATTTACTATTGAAATGACTTATTTAAATATAGTTATTCAAAAAAATTTTAGGTTCAGTCGACGTCAATAAAAAAAAAAACTACATAAACGAATAGCGGACACTGACATAAAAAAAATGTATATATATAAAAAAAACAGTTGTAGCGCACACAACAAAAAGTACGACCGCTACGGACGAAAATTAGCGACGACAAGTTCTGATGATGGCTAATTTCCGACAACCCGTCCGACGTTTGACCTGGCGGTCCGTTGGCGACAACACGGCTAGCCTTTGGAGTAGGGGTCAAAAGAAAAACTTAATACCCAGTGCCGGAAATTACTAAGAACAATTTAAATCATATGGCGACAATGTATGCGGTGAGCAGTGCAAATGACGTTCATGATAGGAAAGGTGCGGGGTGAATGTACACACAAATGCCGTCCATTAACCGGTCTGAAGTAGTACACAGCTGACTATCTCGCACGCGCATAAACAAATCACAATACCTTATCATGATAATTTTACTGACTAACGCCGTCGCAGTCCGCATTCGGTTCAAAACAAATATCTATATATATACAAATAGACAAAAAAAAATAACTAGATACTTTTGTCACGTTACAAGTTATACAATTTATCTCGTCGTCTAGTCTTTTATCTGCAAATATCAAACACAGTTAAAATAAAAGTTATTTTTATTATAAAATTCTCGATTTTATATTTTTAAACTTTAAACTTTAATAAATGATCCATAATATTTTTTTATAAATATATCATACATGTCCCTTCTATATGACATATTTTTTTTTAATCTGGCCATATTTTTTTATATTTAACTATATACTGCATATTGTGAAATTGTTTGAACCTGATGCTTTTTTAGCTTCGATGCAAAATGAAAATGCCCATCGAATTTAACGAAAAAATGTAGTTTTTATGTAAAAATCACTGTTTAACATGATTTTAACATGAAAATTTCAGAATTAATAATAAATATTTACAAAATATGTAATATTTTAATACTTAAAACTGCCATAACTTTTTGAAAAATAACCAAATTAAATAAATTTCTTTTTTATATTCAAAATTTTGGATATTTTTCAATTATTTGATATAATTTTTTTAAAAATCTGATTCTTGACCTTCCCACAAAGGACATTCAAAATAACAATTTTTACACTAAGGTTAAACTTTTTCAACTCAATTTTTGACAATTTTCCGGAAATATTGACATTTCAATTTTACTTTTATTTTTATTTTAAGTCGAATGTTAATTTATACATATAACAACATATTAACTTAGATTATACTTTTAATTAACTTAAAATTAAATTCCACCTATGGTCCGGTAATAATATCTGATAGGTGTGACACCTCGCTTAGGTGGTGGCGACCCTTGCTACTATAGCTAGTCGTTATTGTAATGATATACATAGTACATCATTAATATCATAATAAATTATTTGTATATACATTAGATTATTAATGTTATAATGTAGTATTTATGACTTCAATCAATCAATTACACAAAATAAAATGTATACAAATAAAATTCAGATATATAGATGTACCTTTTAAATGTTTAAATATACTAATGAAATTTCGTAGAAAAAAGCATATATTAATTATATAAAACAAATAGGAAATAATAAACAATATGTAATGGTAGCACATAAGATGAAGGGTAATAAACTATGTCTAATTTATTTTATAAGATATAATAGTATTTTATAATATGTAGATCATTATTGATGAAAATGTAATAAATTACTTTTAATAAAGAAATAAAGGTGGCGTCAGGGATTACTTATTGCCTTTGAACTACGGTCAATTTAATATAAAAAGCCAAAAATAAAGAGCATTCTAGGACAGATGGAATCAGATATTTACAGAGGCACTCACTGCGCTCGATCATTCCACACTACGAAATATATGCAAGAAGTGATCCGCCGTCAACACCATTATATTTGTACAAAAAAATAAAACATCTATTTATTTAAGAGTATCACAGAAAATATCAAGATAGGAATCTAATAAATTTACCAAAAATAAATAAGATTTAGAATTAAATTTATGAGTACATAGATTAAGTAGGCATACAGGAAAATCAAGTGATTATCAATAATAATAAATATACCAAGTAAATTTAATAAATCGATAATGTTTGTACAGAGTTACTTGGCAGAGTTATATTGTTGATACGTGTCTATTTCAGGAGTTAGGTTGGAGGTTCATATGTATAGCCACCATACTACTATGGGTAGACACACGAGGTGACTCAATCCCACCTATCATCGATAACCGTCAAAACTCGTGGCATTATTGATATTCAAAAAATTGACAATAAATTATAATGAATCCCACATTATTAAAATAAAGATCACTTTATTTCCTATCATCTTCTATCTTTCTTACAGACCCTCGTACTCATACCCCGAGTAATAACATTATTAATACAATAAAATAGTGGATCAAATAAGAACACAAATCCCGTCATATTCTATTTAACTTATTTCTTTTGAGTAACTGTCAAAGTAGCTCCCTAAATTAATAACCATTTAAATTCGATGGAGCTGTTTAGCAAATTTTCACATGAAAGTTCTAGTGTTATGCATGATAGGTTAGAATGTGCGACAAAGACTTGTTCCCCTATATTCATATGGGGCTACAAATAGTGAGCACAATTCCAATTAGTGTGACAAGCTCAGAAAGGAGCTTTTCGGCTCTTCATAGACTGAATACTTGGCTACTATCTTCCATGAGCTAGGATCGTTTGGTGGGTCAAGCGTTGATGAGTTTGCACAGGACACATAAAATCAGTAGTTAGTATATTTTCTGCAACAAAAATTAGAAGACTTTTACTGCAATAAGTGCAATAATATTGTGATTCATTTTTATCTTAAAAAGAGCGTTTGGTTTTTTGTTTTTCATTCACTTTTATAGTTTATACTCTATTTATTCTTTGTTTAGTTTTTGATATTATTTCATATTTTCATCTTCTTTAGAAGTCATAAATAGACTTATTAAAGGTACCATAATATTTATAAAAATATATTCCTTATTTTTACCTTTGAAATAAACTTCGTACTGAAAATCATTCGTTTTTATATTCATAAACCCCTCGCATGTATAAAAATAACAACTTTTAATATGAATATTTTTCTAACAATGAACTGTACCCCTCCCAGACAAAAAACCTATATTAGCGCCTGATTGTCATAAGTAAACATAATTATTCATAATGGTTACTGACTAGTTTTTATTATGAGTAATAAAACAAACCAGAGTTATAATTACAAATAAAACAAATACAAATTATGAATGATAAAATTATTTGTAATTATTAACCGTTTTTTTTATACTTATATACATTATGATCAGTACACAGTGTGTAATACACACTGTATATTTTGTCAAAATTATAGACATAAAATAAAATAGTTGAAGTAAAAAATAAAATAGTTTTGGGAATTTTCGTTTTTTCCGACATTATTTGTAAATGAAAATCTCTTACTCTAACCTTTTATAATTAAGTATCTTTTCGCAATTTGTCTTTTAGCGGGACTTCAGTATTATTTTTTTTTAAAGCTGCTCTAAATTTCTAGCCACCTTAGTTTTTTTGTACATTTTGCACAGTTGGTTAGTGCAGCATTTTATATATATATATATATTTTACAGAAAGCATAAAGTACGTGTATAATATTACACTTAATTAATGCAGTGTGTAGGTAGATAAGTACTAAGTTTCCGACCATCCAGGTATTGATAAGGAACCTGACTTTCCGAGTATTGACGACTTATCTTCTATATGAAAATGGTTGCCGTAGATAAAAAACATGCAATTTTGATGTTAAAATTTACGATTTCAAATTTTATTTTTTTTTTTTAAATTACTATAACTTTTTGAAATATTTATGGATTTATACACAAATCTTTGTTACTAAATACATAATATATATACCTTTCATCCGACATACTTTTTTTGTAAATCTTCATAAATTGACTTATAAAGAGGGGGTTTCAATTTTTAAAAATACGAGTAAAATATAGAACTTTTTTCATAGAACTTTTGAAAATGTTCCGGAAATAGTCTGAGCTTTAAATATATGTCAAATTAATGCTTATCACAATAATAATTAAAAAAAAAAAAATTTTCCAGAAACCTTATCTTCTATGATAAAAAGGCCATTGAATTTAACGAAAAAAGTAGTTTCTGAAACGCTTTGTTAATTATCATTTATAGTATATTCAATGTAATCGTAACTTTCACTATTACCACACAACTAATCTATGTGAGAATCAAAATTATGTACAGTATCTAGTAAGTTTAAAGTATGGTTTTGTTCACAATAGTCTATACTCAATTGCAATTTTTCATATAATTACACAGTAATAAACACATCATTATTTACTAAGTTCTATTTTAAGTAATACATTTTAAAATATACGTCAAAAAATTGAAAGATAAATAAAAAAAATGTACAATTGGCATAACAGTATCTTCATAAATCATTTATATTGTTACTTAAAATAAATAACAAAAAAACAATAAAATAATGACATTGAACTATACGTGGATCTCAGTACAAAATTTTTGTGTTGGTGTCCCTTGATTTTCAAATTATCCAAATTTTATATCATTTATTTATAATTTATTTTGTACAAAATATGAATTTATTAAATTGTTATTTTGCATTAATCATTATTTTAATTCAGTCACTATCATCAAATTTTGTGGTATCCAAATTAATCTCGTATGAAAAAATTGAAACTCTTAAAAAAGTACTTGTGAATGTGGATTTACGGAAGCAATTCAAGAACATAGCTGTTAGAGATAAAAAATGCGAAAACAAGAAAAAATACAAATTTAATAACATCTTTGATGATATAGACAACGGAAATATTACAGATCAGAATAATATAAAAAAGCCTGGTGAAGTACGATCGTCAAAATCTTTGCTTGTTAGTTCAAGCAATTATGAAGAAAAGGTAAAAGTAATTTTTAAATTCGTAAGATGTAAGTGTTGGAGACATATTAAGTGGTTTAATCGACTTTTGTCATACATGACTAGTGGTTATGATATGATCTGCAATGAAGAAATAAATACACAAGAAAAAACAATGACCTTAAAAATAAAGAGTTTGCTTCTTACAAGAATCCAGGAATATAAAGAATTAGTACAAGTACTTTATGATTATGCATGTTTTTTTAAAAGTTTATTTCCTGAAGGTAAAGATAAAGTAAGTGATACTGACTCTTTTTTTTCGAAACTATTGCCCATAATAAATATGTCATTACCTGAAGGTGATTATTTTGCAAATGATCTTAGTGAAATATTAAAAAAATCCTTTACAGATATTCATAAATATTCAGGGAATTTGTGTGCTTATTCAAAAAACATTCCTCGAAAGAGTTCATATATCAAAAAATACAAATATCTTATGTTGACTCGTGTAGAATATAATGATAGCTTTGCAGAATATATGAGTAGTCAATTACGTTTAGTTGCAAAAGAAATTTATGATTTGATTTCACAGTTGCCATTAAATGAAATATTAGAATAATAAATAAGATTGAATTATCAATTATTAATATTTATAAAACATATATAAAAATTTAAAATGCCAAATTAATATTTTATAATAGTAGTTATTTTAAGAGTAATCGAGGGACTTATATTAATAAATTACCCCGTAAATACAGCACTTAAATTTTTAAAATTATATTATATTCTAATATTTAAAAAAAATCTAAATATTTCATTATTATTAGTTATATAATAAAATTTTAGGAAATATTTTTATTTATGTATATTAACCAAAAACAGACAGATTTTTTTTTAAATTATAAATTTTATTAATCACACTAGATATAGACTGACTTAAAAAAAATTATAAATTATTTGTGCTTATATATTGCTACATTGTCATTTCAATAGTTAAATAAATACTTATAATATTAAAGTATTTTTAAATTGTTAGCTCATTTGTAGATTTTTAATTATGAAACTAAATATTTATTTTGTTTTTCGGATATAATTTTTTATATTGTATGTTATTTGACTTACAAATATGGTTAAAAAGTTTAAGGTTTTTAAATTATAGCAGCTTTGTATGTAAAAAAGATTTATATATTATGCTTTATATTATAAAATCTTAGTGTTGCTATTATTATTTTTATATACCTTCCAAATATATGTTGTAATTACTCAATGGACGAATTAAAAAAATGTGTATTATATTTTAATTTTTTTTAGAGGTACTTCCTCTTAATTGGAACTCACTTAACACATAGGGTAATGATCTTCGAGATTTTGTGATACTGATTGGTTGACACCTGCTAACATCAATGGACCACTTTAGCGCACAATTTTACTTNGTTATCGTTTTGAAATTGCCGTTAGATCGGTGTTGACTCTTCTCTATTCTTTCTTCTGTCATTGACCGTGCTAGGGTGCACACATTTGTTGTTTTATTGACATATTTTTCAATGATGGAGTAGAGCCGCCAACGGCAAACGGCCAGGTCTTTTCGACGAAGCATCCAGACCATCGGATGGGTCTCTTCGGAGACCGGGTATCGCTTTCTTTTTTATATTATATTTATGTAATGAGCTATATTTTATTAATTATTTTATTTCATTTTATTTTATTGTAAATTAACTTAATTTTGTTTATGTGTGGAGAGCACGTGTTTCCCTTTTCTTCTAGCCAACGCTAAGAAGCGAGTGTCCAGACCGCTCCTGGTGTTCTTCATTAATTTCCGATTAACATTAACGGATGTGTTCCAATACCGTCCGTGATGTTTGTAATATTATTTGTTTAAATATTTTATTTTATTTGTATTGCCTTTATTTGTAGACATGGTTTTTGATGCGTTCGCATTTTTGTCCATGTTTAACTTAATTTTCTTTTTTTAAAAATTATATTAAATTTCCTTATTAATTTCAACTGTAATATTTATTTTATTACGCGATTAACTTAATTACTCGCGTGTATTTCATTCCTATTCCTTAATCTAGACACAGGCTACGGTATGTTTTACATATCAACCACATACAACTTTGATTGTCATAATTGTGTTCTATAAACCACGAGGCATTATAGTAATTTATACATATAACGATATATTAACTTAGATTATACTTTTAATTAACTTAAAATTAAATTCCACCAATGGTCCGGTAAACTTATCTGATAGGTGTGACACCTCGTCTAGGTGGTGGCGACCCTTGCTACTCTAGCTAGTCGTTATGCAAGTGGCAAACCACGTTGTTGTTACAAGCCAATATATAAAAAGCCCGCTTGCAGTATCTGATTTATTTTTAGCCATTGATTTCATCCGGGTAAATGTATTATAATATGAGAACGCGTACGCAAAGTATTAGGACGCTTATTTTTAGCCATTTAGTTTTCTTATCTTTTTTAAAATAAAACTTGGTTCTTGATTAATCACTATCAATATCGGGAAAGTCAGTTTCTGAAACGCTTTGTTAATTATCATTTATAGTATATTCAATGTAATCGTATATTTCACTATTACCACACAACTAATCTATGTGAGAATCAAAATCATGTACAGTATCTAGTAAGTTTAAAGTATGGTTTTGTTCACATTAGTCTATACTCAATTGCAATTTTTCATATAATTACACAGTAATAAACACATCATTATTTACTAAGTTATATTTTAAGTTACGTATTTTAAAATATAAGTAAATAAATTGAAATATAAATGAAAATAAATGTACAATTGGTATAACAGTATCTTCATAAATCATTTATATTCCTACTTAAAATAAATAACAAAAAAATAATTAAATAATGGCATTGAACTATACGTGGATCTCAGTACAAAATTTTTGTGTTGGTGTCCCTTGATTTTAAAATTATCAAATTTTATATCATTTATTTATAATTTATTTTGTACAAAATATGAATTTATTAAATTGTTATTTTGCATTAATTGTTATTTTAATTCAGTCACTATCATCAAATTTTGTGGTATCCAAATTAATCTCATATGAAAAAATTGAAACTCTTAAAAAAGTACTTGTGAATGTGGATATATGGAATCAATTCAAGAACATAGCTGTTAGAGATAAAAAATGCGAAAACAAGAAAAAATACAAATTTAATAACATCTTTGATGATATAGACAACGGAAATATTACAGATCAGAATAATGTAAAAAAGCCTGGTGAAGTACGATCGTCAAAATCTTTGCTTGTTAATTCAAGCAATTATGAAGAAAAGGTAAAAGTAATTTTTAAATTCGTAAGATGTAAGTGTTGTGGACATATTAAGTGGTTTAATCGACTTTTGCTATACATGACAAGTGAATATGATAGGATCTGCAATGAAGAAATAAATACACAAGAAAAAACAATGACCTTAAAAATAAAGAGTTTGCTTCTTACAAGAATCCAGGAATATAAAGAATTAGTACAAGTACTTTATGATTATGCATGTTTTTTTAAAAGTTTATTTCTTGAAGGTAAAGATAAAGTAAGTGATACTGACTCTTTTTTTTCGAAACTATTGCCCATAATAAATATGCCATTACCTGAAGGTGATTATTTTGCAAATGATCTTAGTGAAATATTAAAAAAAATACATAGAGATATTTTTAATCATTCAAGGAATTTGTGTGCTTATTCAAACGAAATTCCTCCAAAGATTACATATAACAGAAATTACAATCGAAAGTTGGCTAATGTAAAATATAAGGAAAGCTTTGCAGAATATATGAATAGTCAATTACATTTAGTTGCAAAAGAAATTTATGATTCGTTTTCACAGTTGCCATTTAATGAAAAATTAGAATAATACATAAGACTGAATTATCAATTATTAATACTTTTAAAACATGTATAAAAATTAAAAATGCCAAATAAACTGTTATAATATTAGTTATTTTAAGAGTAATCGACTGACTTATATTAATAAATTACCCCTTAAATACAACACTTAAATTTTTTAAATTATATTATGTTCTAATATTAAAAAAAGAAACCCAGCACAGGAGGGTCGCTGCACAGTGGTGTCGTGGCATAGTTGGATCAAGTATAATGATATCTGACAGTGATTAAAATCACTATCAAAAAAAAAGCTTCGACGCATATCTTTAAATAATGTTTAATTTTAAAAAATTGGTGTATTATTCCAAAAGCTATATTATCTGATACTTCATTATTAATATCTTGATTAATATAAAGTATGTTGAATGAAAAAGGGATTATTAAAAAATATTAATTCTCATAAAAAAATTGTGTTGTATCATTATAAAGTTAAAAATATAAAAAATAAAATCGAGAATCATGAAAACAAGTCCAGAGGTCAAATTTTTTTTTTTAAATAAAAGTATATTACATTAACTTTAATTTAAGATATATATATATAAAAGTGTCAGACATTCCGGAACATATTCAAAAGTTAAGTTGAAAAAGTTGTCATTTTAAATCCCCCCCTGTGGGCAGATAAAGGTTCAGATATAAAAAAAATATATACCAAATGATAGGTAAAAACATCAAGCATCTATAAAAAATAAGTTTAATTTTTAATATGTTAAAAGTAATTATTTTGAGCTACTTCTTTTTGTCCTTTAAAGTGAAAGTTTTAATAAAAACAATGGTAGCACAGTGGGGTCGTGGCATAGTGGAGACATTGCACAGTTGGGTCCAGTATAGATTTAATATGACAGTGATTAAAATCACTATCATAAGAAACGCTTCGATGCAAATCTGTAGATAGTGTTTAATTTTAAAAAATTGATGGATAATTGCAAAAGCAACATCAACTTCTATTAAAATAAAATACAAAACCCATAATTTTCATACAAAAATAGCATAGTTTTGAATATGGTAGCCATTTGCGCATAGAAGATAGGTCGTCGGGACAAATTTTTTTTTTTCATTTTGTAGTACATAAAATAAGATTTAATTTTATATATGTTTAAAGGACGCAGTATTTCCGGAACATTTTCAAAAGTTAAGTTGAAAAAGATATATGTTTTTTACAATATTTTAAGTTTTGAACGCCCCCTATATAAGGGGAAATTGTCCAATTTTAATAAAAAGTATGTCAAATGAAAGATGTACTTATAATGTATTTAGAAAAAAAAAATTTGTGCTGATATATACATTTTTCAAAAAGTTATAGCATTTTTAAGTTGAAAATTTAAAATCGAAAATCGAAAATTTTAACACAAAAATAGTGTTTTTTTAACTACGGCAGCCGTTTAAATGTAGAAAAAAAAGTGTCGGGACAAATTTTTTTTTTTCATTTTATAGTACATAAAATAATCTTTAATTTGATATATGTTTAATGGACGCAGTATTCCCGGAACATTTTCAAAAATTAAGTTTAAAAAGTTATTTTTTGTAAAAAAGTTTTTATTTTAAATCCTCCCAGTGAGCAGTGTTAGATTTTCAAAAAAAATTATATCAAATGAAAAGGAAATATCTAAGGTTTTAATACAAAAAAATATTATTTTTATTTGTTCAATTTTGAAAAAGTTATGGCAGTTTTAAGTACAAAAAACATCCCGATAAAATGTAATTTTTATCGCAAACATTACATTTTTTTTTAAATTTTCGACAGTCATTTGCACATAGAAGATAAGATGTCGGGACAAATTTTTTTTTTTCATTTGATTGTATATAACATAAGCTTTAATTTGATATATGTTTAAAGGACGCAGTATTTCCCTAACATTTTCAAAAATTAAGTTGAAAAAGTTAATTTTTGTAAAAAAGTTTCTATTTTAAATCTCCCCCAATGAGCAGGTTAAGTGTTAAACTTTCAAAAAAATGATATCAAATGAAAGGTAAACATCTAAGGTTTTAGTAAAAAAAAAATATGTTGATTTGTTGATTTTTCAAAAAATTATGGAAGTTTTAAGAAAAAAATTGAAAAAATTTCGAAAATTAGGGATTTTTAAATTTTTTTGGATATTTCCACCTTTTGCGGGGAACGGGGGAATTTTTTTCAATTTTTAAGGGTAATGTCTTCAACTAGATACGATTTGTAATCTTTTGACGTATTTTTGAATGAAATCGGTTCAGAAAGAGCTGAGAAAAAGTGGCATCAGACATAAAAAAAAAAAAAAAAACCACATCATAGTAAAATTCGAATCGAAGCTAAAAAAAGTAATATTGATATATTTATTTTTGAAAAAGTTACGGCAGTTTTTATTTAAAAAAATTGAAAAAATTTCGAAAAATGGCTATTTTTAAATTTGTAATTTTTTTGGAGATATATGACAATTTTTTTATTGATAATTGACTTTTAAACAACTTTTATACGAAACTTTTCTTTGTAAGTTAAATATTTTTTGAGAAAATAAAAAAAACTCATATTTTTTAACTTTTTCGAGGCTGTAAAAAAAATTCCAATCTATGAGGGCTGTTAGTATGTCATTATACATATTTTAATTCAACTTTTAAAAAAACAAAATTTGGTTAAGAATTTTTTCTGCAATTTTTCCTTTGTTGACTGGCCTAGATTTCAATTTTAAACATGTAATTGAGCTAAAAGTTATGGTAATATATTCAATTTTTTTTTATTATAAACCTTCATTAATATTTATCAAAAATTTTTCATCAGCTTTAAAAATCCATAAAAAGTAGATTTTTTTCAAAAGTCAAATTGAAAAAATTAATTTTTTGTGAAAAAGTTGTCATTTTAAATCTCTCCTTGTGGGCAGGTAAAGAGTCAAATATAAAAAAATATACCAAATGAATAGTAATAATATCATGAATCTATATAAAAAGAAGTTATATTGATTTGATTATTTTAATAAAAGTTATGGCAATTTTAAGTAAAAAAAACTGAAAAATTTTCGAAAATTAACGATTTTCAAATTTGTAATTTTTTTGGAAGTTTCCCCCATTTACGGGGAACTAAGGAATTTTATTTAATTTTTTAACGTAATGTCTTTGAATAGATACGATTTGTTATCTTTTGACGTATCATTAAAAGAAATCGGCTCGGTGAAAGATGAGAAATTGGTAACAGACAAAAAAAAAAAAATAAACACATCTTAGTAAAACCAATAACTCCTCAGGTTCGCATCGAAGGTAAAATACGATTTTTGTAAAAAAATAAATTAATAATTAATAAATACGAATATTAAAAATAGTGGACTGTATCGTTTTATTATAATTTACTTGTAAGCTGGCGATTTGTCCGCGCGCGTACGTAGATCGAATATAACTACTTCATATATTGGTCGGCGACCATTATTATTATAGATATCTCTTAATAGCTCGATAACGAGCGCGAACACACCGCCTACCTTGAAATAACACATTTCAATAGAATTAATATAAAGTACATACAAATAAGATTATGACAAACAATTGACCCACATTCATGGCCAAAAATATAAACAATAGTTCTGTAAAACATTCTCAGATAAATAACAAATAATTATACCTTAGAAATAACATATCATGTTTTAAATAAATTACAAATAATTAAATTAATATATAAATAAATAATAAAAATTATGGTAACTTCATTTAGCAACAAACATTAACTGCAGGACACTTTAACAATGAACATATTTTATAATAGAGATACAAATAATAATTAATACATTACATACATAAAAAAAAAAACAACAAGAATTTATATCACAATATTTAGACTAGATATTATTGTTATATTTTTTTTTTTCAAATCATAAGCATTTTAACATAATTTACTAAACATACATTTTAAACATTTTTAATTATTTGAACTTGGTGTACAATTTCCCTCGAATGGTAATGGACATAATTGACGAACAGCTCGTTTGTATACACCGGTTGCTGTACGGATAGTAGCCACTCGTATGACACCGTCAGAACCACTATGAACTTCCATTATTCTTCCAATTGACCATTTTAAAGGGGGCATGTTTTCATCACGCATGAGAACCACAGTGTTTTTCTTCAAACCAGGACCATTTGATTGTGACCATTTTTTTCGCTCTTGTAACTGATTGAGATACTCGTTCTTCCATCTAATCCATATTTTTTGCGTAATTTGAACAACACGCCTCCAGCGAGTTAGTCTGTTCTCCATAATATTCGTTACGTCACGTTCGGGAAAAGCGGATAGCGAGTCACCTAACAAAAAATGACCAGGTGTTAAAACCGATAAGTCACTTGGATCCGTGGATAAAGGTGTCAACGGTCGCGAATTTAATTAATTACAATATTTAAAACATTGTTTTTTTAAATTAAGTATAGACTAATGTGAACATAACCATACTTTAAACTTACTAGATAATGTACATGATTTTGATTCTCATATAGATGAAGTGTGTGGTAATAGTGAAATATACTATAAATGATAATTAACAACTCGTTTCAGAAACTGAAGACGTTCTCGATATTGATAGTGATTAATTGAAAGGTTATAAATATAAAAAATTCGAATTAATTGGTCGCAACGAAAAATTTGTAACTTTCATGGCGCATTGAAAAATTACAAGAAAAGGGTCGCCAA